AAAAGATCTTTTTTATTCAAACAATGATTTTAGTCTTAAAAATACCTTAGAAATAAGGTATCAGTCAAAAAAAGATCTGAAAAGATCTTTTTTTATCAGAACAGTCAGAAAATGATTTATTGTTTGCGGGAAAACTTTTGGAGATGTTGCTCAACGAAATAATTACTTGAGCGTTGGAATGACATCATGGATATTATGTGTATTATAAACAGAACACACCAAAAGACCTTACAGGATTGCATTATATCTTGAGCAATAGGAATGGCTAAGTAGGAAGTTGTATCTGCATAGAGGTTAATTTTAATTATTTAATCGTTTCAGGAAACGTGTTTGATAGAAAAGTGATTGCCTTAACAACTACGGTGGAAAGGAAGCCTTGCTTGTTGATGATACAGAAAGAATGGTGTGAAAGGATTTTTATACTATTATGATATGATTCGGAGCGAAAAAGTTATTCAAACTACGGTTGACAGATCTAGTATTCGTTTTTGTATACATCTGGGTATTTTGCATTGATAGTGACATCCAAGGTCATGGTCTGGGATTATGGTTAAGCAGATGGCATGTCCGTGGAATTTTCTAAAAATACTATTGTATTGCTCATTGTTCGTGGTTACTGAGTTCGTGGTTAACGACTATATGTTTTTTTTCTTTCGTTATTCAAAGGCATATATGGTAAAGTTGCCCATTGTGAAATAGATTGAGGAATCTCAAAAAGATCTTTTTGTAAAATGGATGTATGAGATATTAAAGTTTTTATCTGTCAATTACCTGCACAGATGGACAAAGCATCTATAGATGTGGCTGTAAAATATTGAGTTAATTTTCAAGAAGTTTGGCGTTTGATTACGTTCGTGGAATATAGATTCACTGTTTGATGCCTTTTAATCGACTTTAATACATACTATCTCTACCCGGATTGCCGCTCGAATGAACTGTTGTGCAGCGTGAGTGTGGGTATGGGGGTCGATAGAGACGATGTTCACTTACATCCACATCAACACCTCACACACGCCCACACCCACACTCCCACACCCTAGTTAATGAAATCTTATTTATTCATATTTATGCTGGAAGCCATTCTCATACTTATGAAAATTGAAAATATTTTATTGAAAATGCTCTTGAAGAAAATGATGGTGTTGTCTGTATGCTTCGACAAAATCAAGTGAACATAACATTAATTAATACAAATAAAAAAAATCCTATTTATTAAATTGTGCATTTTTAGTGTACTCAAAAAGTGAGTACACTACTAAAATCGGTCTGTGTGTCCGTCCGGCCGTTAACACGATAACTTTCGAAAGGAGAGTCAGATTGCGATGAAATTTTCTACACAGCTTAGTCTTGACAATATCTCGGTCGAGTTCGAAGATGAGAAGGATTCGCCAAGAAATGGCTGAGTTATCGAAAAAATTGTGATTTTTGACCAGGCCATCCCTGAGGGGAGGTGCGGGGATTTTTCGAAAAAAAAATTTTTGCTCATAATTATTCACAAAATATATAAATCGACTCAGTTTTTAACGCTGATTCTGAATCTGATATTAGTTTTGAACTGAATCATAGTTTTGTGTACTCAAAAAGTGAGTACACTATAGAATAGTCAGTGTGTCCGTCCGTCCGGTTGGCTGTTTACATGATAACTTTTGACGGCAGAGTCAGATTGCGATGAAACTTTCTACACAGCTTAGTCTTGACAATGTCTCGGTCGAGTTCGAAGATGAGAAGGATCGGCCGAGCCGTTCCTGAGTTATTGTAAAAATACCCATTTTTCCCTATAGCTTTCTGTGGAAAAATGGACCCATCGCGACTTTCGTAAAAGACTTTTCCTATCATAGTCAATTAAAACCCCAACTATTATATACCATTCGATAGAGAATTTCAAGAGCTACAAAATGATATATAAAACATAAAGAAACAAGAAGGTTGACTTAGCAATGACAAGGATAATTAAAGAGAACTAGGTTATATTTTGGTCCACTATCTAATTGATCCACAAATAGAGCTTTATCTTCCGGTCACACTGATGATGCTTCGAGGTTTTCAGATATGGAGAACTCGAATGTGTACTGCACTTCCATCGAAATACTATTAGTTGTGCAGTGACCAATAGAAATGAAGTTATAGGAAAAACGACTTTCTTAGGGTAAATCAAGGGAAAAAGTTCAGACTTGAGCTGTATTCGGTCCCATGTCCTATTGGTTTGGCAACGCGCAATAGAAATCAACATTATAAATGGTAGATTTCACAGTATAATTTTGATATTCAGACAGTCTAGGATGATTGATTTGTATGATTCACTTTTTGAAGTACACATAACTCTCGGATTTAAATCCGAAGTTTCGGCATTTATTTTTTATAATTAAGGTTTTCGAGCAAGAAAAAAAAGAACATAGGTGTAAATATACCAGTTTCATCACCACGTATCACGATTGTACGTTGTTGTTTAAGTGTATCAAGTATTGCTACAGTGCCTTGAGAAAATATCCGAGTTTTTGCCATAAGCCAAGCGAAACTGTGTATTAACTATGCACCATACCACTTTGTATAAATACTATGAAATGAGAAAAATGAAGCATAATTGTCTGCTGAGTGGATCAAAGGAATATCACCTTCGGGTATTATTCGATTTTCTTCAATAGTAAAACAAACTGATTTAAGATCCAAAGTTAATTCATCAGTTGATTTTAATTGACATGATGCGCTAGTTACTTCTATTAGATGTTTTATTCCAATATGTTCACGATTTTTATCATCATATTTATCAGTTATACACCAGTCATAACCAACAAATGAACCACCTGGTTTAAGTACACGAAAAACTTCAGCAAAACATTTAGCCTGAATCATTGTAGAAAAATAAAGACTTTTTTAAATAAAAAATGGACAAATATACCTTGTCTGGTGCATGACATACAGCTTTTACAGTATAAATATGATCAAAAGTATTATTTTCAAATGGTAATTTCATAAAATCACCTTCAATAAATTGACAATTAGCTGGTATACCTGAAATATGATTTCAATTCATATTCGAGATTTTTTCAAAAAATAAATAGAATAAATTCTCACCAATTGTTTTAGCTCGTTGAACTTGATATGATCTAATTGTTATACCAGTAACATGTGCGCCAGTTAAGTATGCAATACATCTTAATGGTCCTCCAATTCCACAGCCAAGATCAAGTACTTTATTTCCTGGTTTAAGTTGGATTTTTAATGCTAAATAAGACTCATGCCGTTGAAGTGATTGTGCGAATGTTTCACAATGAAATCGATTAGCAAGATGAAAAATTCTATGCCACATATGTTCATAAAAATCTGATATTAAACTATAATAATTTCTTACTAACGTTTCATATTGATCTTTTCGTCTATCGACATATGTTGAATTTTGATAAACTTTATTATATGATGAAAGGTCTTTTAGAACAGCATCATTTGAACGTCGTATAGCCATTTTTTCTGTCGTTATTCTTCTTTTGTAATGCTAATAAACGATTATATTTCATTTTAATATATAAAGGGTATTCACTAAGTTTTGACCCGCTTAATCAATAAATTTATTGATTAAGGGAGTCAAAACTTAGTGAACATCCTTTATGTATAGTAAGCGGGTGTGGGTGTAAGTGTGGGTGGGTGTGGTTATGGAACTCGATGTGGATGTGGTTCTTCTCTTCGCCCACACACCCACCCACACCCCACCCACACCCATCCACACCTACACCCACACCCGAAAAAGTGAGTAATGTGAATGAATGAGTGAGTGATTGTTATTTCCCTCCTGTTCCTATTGTTATCTACGCGGTTCAAAGTGACCGTTTCATTTTGAAAAGGACATATTGGTCGTTCATGTCCTGTATTCAAACTAAAATAATATGATCAATTGGAAACACTATCCCTAATATCAATGTATCAACATGGATCCATTCTCTTCAACAATCCTAATCATTCATTTTTAACATTTCGCATAGCCATTTGAGTGATTCTTGATGAGATAGATATACAAGAAAATAATGGAATGAAAAGATTTGACTTCTTGAACTAGCTATCATAATTGATTGGTGATATTAGCAACATGAATTCTAATTAATAACTGGAGTCAACTTCTCACAATAGATCATTCGCACAGCAATTTACTTCGAACTATTCTGCAAACACAAAAGAAACATCCGATGAAGTCGATGAAGCGAAAGAGATTAAAAGCGCATTGTATAATAGTGGATGAATACAGAATGTCTTTTATGATATTTTCCATTGATCGTTAGCACAGATAAGACGATCTTGAGTGCTGATGATAAAGATTTTCTAGATCTCGAGTGAATATCTTGCTGTCTAATGTTTATTTTATATTAATAAATATCCATCTGAACATTTAGTAAAAGTTAGCTTCCATGAAACGCGGCATAACAAAATAAACAAAAAACAGTTCAGTCTATACCAAAAATTTCATAAATTGAACAGAGATTTACATATAGAAATAATTTAAATGAACTAAAAATTAGAAATAAAAACACTGGTATAATGTACTT